CTCCCTTCTACGTTTTTCTTTTCTAAAAATTCATTATTCACACTTTTAATACCATTTTTTTTTTGTTATTTATTAAACACCATACATTTTATTAAGTTAATTGTTATGTGTTATTTTTCCTATTTTTAATAAAAAATTCTTTTTATTCAACTCATAATTGTTGCTAATCTTTTTTCATTGAAGTATAAGAATATTAAACTGGTTAAAAGAAAGTAATTCAAACATATGAACCTATTATAATTGTGTTTATGAAAAATAGAGAATTCAAAGAAATAACTTATTTATTAATCACTTTTATCTTGAATTAAATTAAAACAAATTACTCACTCATTAAAATTTGTTATAAACAGTTTTTTATCTTTTTTATGTAGAAAAAGACAAAAACTGTTAAGTTTTAAGTGGAGTTAATACTTACTTGCTTTATTTGATGTTATACTAATATTTTTTTTCTTTAGTAAAACAATGTCTTCTTTTAACTCTTTTTGGTTGAGTTATTAAATGAAAAATATGTCACTAATAATAATTGTATGTTTAAGTAATGTTATATTTTCATTATTCCATGAATTATTTATTACAGATAAATAAACAATATTTAATTCTTTTTTTTGTTTTATAATGAGAGTTGGTAATGTTGTATTTAAGATGAGATGAACTATCACTTCTTTGCTTTATGTTTTATGTTAATACAATAGTTTATATCTAACACATTATCATTTATTTCATTAAAGTAATAATTCTCTTGAATTATTTAATAAATGTTATTGAATTACATTTAAACAAAGAGGATTTTTATGTTAGTAGTTTATTCAATTTTAAATAAAATCTATACTTTTTATAATTCTTGAATAACAAAGTCTACGTTATTAAATTAATTTAGTTATTTTAATATTAAAAAAATTACACTAATTGAATAAAAATCATCAATAAAAAGCAATCATCTCTCATTCATTGTGGTACTTATTATTTCTCTTCAGTGAATTTTGAAGTGCCAAAAGCATCAGTAATTTCTTTGAGAATATTACTAATTTGTTTTGAGTTAATAATCATAATAGAAATAAAGTCTTTTACCTTTCCTGGTAATGTCCATCTATCCTTAGAAGATACAGAAACAACAACACCAGCTTCTGCAAATTTTGAATAGATTTGATTTTCCATTAATAAATATTCTAATTCATCAGAGACATGAATTTTCTTTTTTCTTCTAATTACTGTCTGTTCTTCATCATCATTATTTCCATCATCTTCATCAAGACCTTTAACACACGATGCAGCAATGACATAATAATTAACTGGTTGAGTGATATGATGTTCGGTATCATAAATACCAATTTCTTCATAAATGGTATTATGTAATAATGAATTCAAATCAGATGGACAATTTACCATTCTCTCATTAACAATTAACATTCTTCTTCCTGCTTCACCACTTAATACTTTCTGAACAAAATCAAGTTTTTCTTGGTTATATTGTTTGAATGCATTAATAGTGTATTTACAAAAGTCATCATAAATTCCATCAACTTTTAATGACTCAAAGTCTACTGGAATAGCAAGACCATAAGTATCATTATCACTATTCTTAATAACTGACCCTATTTCTGTTTTGATTAAAATATCAGTCAATGTCCTCAAATTAATTCCAGTGTACTTTAAAGGACTGTGTAATAAGAAATTCTTAATTTCTAAATAATCATTTTCACTTTGATTTTCTAAAAAGATGTCTACATTAATTTCTTCCATTGCATCATCTCCTTCATCTGTTTCTACAGGAACAAATGTATTTTCTTCTAATTCTTCTTCTTCCATTGCATTACGTGCTCTTCTCTTCATTTTCTTATTTATCTCTTTTTTTATTTTAGGGTTTTTATGACAAAATTTTAAAATAAAACGTTTTTGTTTTTTGAATTTTATATTTTTTTTGTACTTTTTTTTCAATTTCTTCATTTCTTATTGTTTTAAAGTGTTTTTTGGTATATATGAGATAGAACCTAATTTAAGAGCAAGAATAAATGATAATTCAATAGAAAAAACAATCAATTGAAATTTTGATTATAGTATTTATTATATTATAATTTAGTTCGAGAAGAGAAGAATGTGAAATATCTTTTGTTATACTTCACAAAAAAAACATCACCAACTTAAAATATAAAATGATCCTCTTACAAAGAGAATACATATATTTCATTGTTTTTGTTATTGTTCTTCAACTATCTGGTATTTATCTTTATGGAACTGGGTTTTTAATCACATCAGTTCAATCACAAAAGAAAAGTCAATGTAATGATCCTATAATGACAAATACACTTTATGCACAATCTCACCCTCCGGAATTATGTTGGACAACTCCTTTATTCAAGAAAACAGCTTTGTATCTTGTTGATGCTCTTAGATTTGATTTTGCTTTTTCTACTGACTATCCTCCTTTGTTTGAGAATATCACTGACCCTAATAACTTTAGACTCTACCATAATAATATGGATGTTTTCAATTCTTTAGAAAATCAATATCCTTCTCGTTCGTCAAAATATCATTTCATTCCTGACCCACCTACTACAACTGCACAACGTGTTAAAGCAATGACAACTGGTGGTGTTCCAGCTTTTATTGAAATATCTACCATGTTCAATAATCCTGCTGTTGTTGAAGATTCATTA